AAGTAACATTCAGGTTCAAGTCAGTACTTAAGGGGGAAAACCAGTCATTGTTTTAATTCATTAATAAATTAACTTTCATTGCAAAATCTACAGGGATTTCTGTCTTCCAGCCTTATATTTTCTTCCTGTTTTGCCTTTAAGGAATTCGCCACCACTAGTTCCTACTGTGCGTTTAATTACTATACCGATTGCTCACTATATATGCTACATGACGCAGGAAAAATACAGAATTTAAAAGCAAAGCAGTCTCCCTGACCTCCCTGGGGAGAGACCAAAACCCATAAAAATATAATAAAACACGTTAAACTACATGTAACAAGTGCCAGATGAGCGGTCTGGATAATTGCACAGCCTTTGTGGTCCCAAGTGAATGGGCACTATTCGTCAAGCCAGCAACTGCACTTCCTTGTCCTGAGACCTTGAACTTTGCTCATGGTGCTTGGAATCCCTATCCTAAGCACTCTGTTCATCTTAAGCCTAACATTCCTTTATCCTTCATGCCATCTTTCTGAATATTTTCCCTAATTATTGTTTTTTTCTCCTCCCTTTGCCTCCATTTTGTGGAGTTGATTTTCTGCTCTTCTTTTAAAATTCTAAGCACTTTACCTAAAATTGCTTTTGGAACTCATCTCATGTCCTAACTTATAAACATTGATTCATATAGAGTTTTTCTTTTATGATGATAACAAAATGTGCACACTTGACTATACAGAACATTTAGAAAAACACTCATGTTATAAAAAGATCGTTCTTCTACAAACATCTATTGTGTGCACCTCTGTGTCAGGCTGTCTGGAAGACTGGATCAGTGATGTGAAGACCTGCTCCACCCCCACAAGCTCATGGTCCAGTAAGATGGGAGGTTCATGAGCTGATGTGGTGGGAGAGTGATGCCTGATAAGGAGGTACCGTGGAGTAAGGGAGAGCCTTGGAAAACAAATGAGAATTCATGGGAATATTTGGCCCCTTCTAGGTTACTTACTTGGACCTTTATCCATGTAATTTTTTGAAGACAACAGGGAGCTCTATAACAATTTTATTTACCAGATATCATTCCTAGAAACAGAAGGTGCTCCTTGAATTTTAAAAACATGACAAAATAGTATCATATACCGTAGCCACCTTAGTGCATTAGACTATCTTAAAAGTGATGCAGTTTTAAAACGTAAACACTGGGTTCTGAATATGTTGGTTAAGTTTATAGATGAGAGTTCTATGTCTGATTGTTAAGGTACCCCAAGGATATTTAGGGCCATAAGTTTTATAGTTTGGAGTTAGATCTTATCTGTTATCTCGTTCTCACCAATGTCCCATGTTTCCCCTTCAGAACAAAGCACTCAGCTGGATATATTAGGCCGTACCGTGTCACCTTAGGGCACAGAAAGAAAATCAGGATTATACCTTATTTGTTTTTATCTCATTTTTACTTATGCTCTATTTTATATGTTTGCAATATATTGTATATGTTAAAAATTAAATGTATACATACATGTACTTATAAGCAGATCTATAAATATTGGAGGCTGTTATCCAAAATTATTACCATCTCTTTGGACTGTGTTTGGTTGTAAGTAATAGAAAGCCTAACAGTGACTTAGACGCAGTATACTTATGATTTACCTTACAAAAGTGTGTAGGTGGTCTTAGAGTTAGTATAGCAGCCTAGTGATTTCATTAGGGAATTTTTCTATCTTTCCACTCACATATTTGGCAGGATGCCTCACAAGTGTAAAATTTCACCTCATGGTGAATTTTATTTACCTTTCCCAACAGCTCTGTGATTTTAGGTGAGTAGTGCTATATGGGTACTCTATAGTGAAATGCATGGGTAAATTCTTAAGATTTCAAGTTTATTGATAACTGCATTTTATTTATCTATAGAAGGATCAAGACTAATATTCTGTTGTGTACTAAATCAAGTTACTTAAAATGTTTAATAAGGATGTTCTCTTAGAATTTAGTCAAGTCATTGTGAGGGGTAAGCATGTGTATCTTAAATCAATTTTGGGATTCTCTAAGCTATGGAAATAGAAAACGTGAGGGCATGTTAGACTTGACATCTCCGTACTCCCCCACCTGGGGCCTTTGCAGAGGCGTTTTACTTGGTTCTGATCCTGTGTATTGTGCTGATGGATGGTAAAGCGATGGAGAAAGTGGTTGGTAGAATAGGGTGGTAACCACCAGAGACAGTTGTCAGATGGAAACTAATTGATTGTGATTGCTTTGCCATTGTATTGCTCTTGGAGTCTGTAGCTTGTTAAAACCACTGATTATAAAATAAGGATCTCCCTTTTTATGCTGTAGTTTATGTTAATGAAAAGCTGTTCTTAGAGGAATGATCAGTGAATATCAATAAATGGATAATAAGAAACTAAAGGAAAACTTAACTGATCATGAATTAATATACTTCAGCGGTCAGAGTAGTAGTCAATTGTGTGGTGGTTCATATTGAATTTTTGGCTCAGAGCTGTTGAATTTTAAATATTTCCCATAGAAAGAGAGACTGAGTCTGTGTAACTATTTATCACATACTGTCTTGAATAACAAATCTTCCCCGTAGAGGAGATCTTCTGGAAAACAAACAAACAAAAAATGTGTCTGTTTTGCAGAGCCTTTATTTCATGCCAAAGTATTAACAGGCAAATTTTTTTTTTTTTTTTTTTGGTACGCGGGCCTCTCACTGTTGTGGCCTCTCCCGTTGCGGAGCACAGGCTCCGAACACGCAGGCTCAGCGGCCATGGCTCACGG